TTAATTTCTGCACGTTCGTGCACGGTCTGTTTACTCTGTTCGCAATACTGAGTTCTTTCTTAGCCCAAGTACCGGTATGTGTGGCACTGACTTTTCTTCTTTTCTTCTTTTTTTTTTTTTTGGAAACAAGTATCAATAAGCACTCCCATTAGTCACCATAAAAAGACTGTTTTGAAAAGTCTGATTTTTTTTGCAAGTCAGCGTCAGTGACACGGAAATCAACCCCAAAAATCTGGGTTAGAGTTTTCCAACTTTGGAATCGAGTTATGTGACAGATCTTCATCTCCAGATCGGAAAAAAATACTCCAGTAAATTCTATAGTAAGTTGTAAACTGTAGACAAGATGGCAATCATTACAGAAACATATTTATCAATGGAAGTAATACCAGATGTCATTGAATTGCAATCTTCCAGGATACTGCAGTGGTTCTTGGCAAAAGTTTGAAGTAAATTTCCTCACCAGAAGTTTCAGCTTGGCGGCTTTTTCCAGTTGAACTCAGTAAAAGTCCTTCATTTGAAACAAGAGTTTCCCTTTGCAGGCGTGGCCCTTAGCCATTCCCCCTTTTTTAAGTAAAAGATACAGAAATGTAATAGCACCTAAATCCAGAAAAGCTTTCGGGGTTCTTTACCCCCCCCCCCCCCCCCAAAAAATCATCCTTCAATTGTTTCTCTTTCATTAAGTTGAAATGTTAGTTAGGCCTAAATATGAAAAAAAAAAAAAAAACACAGAAATGTCTGGAATTTTCAAGAACAAGTTGAACCCACACATTGAACCCACATTCAACCCAAGATACGTGTGCTCTGGAAGATTTAATTTGATACAAAGTACAAGTGCATGTTCTTTTCATTTATTTTTTTTTGCGGGGATTTTTTCAGATTGTCCAAAAAGCACCTCTTGTCTTGGTCATTACCCTAATTGTCTTGGTCATTACCCTAATTGCGGCGGCCGTTGGCTTTGATATACCGAGCTTTCAAGAGCCCCTCGTGATTGCTAAATTGGTGATTTCATAAACTAATTATTGATTTTCCGTCCATGTTGTAGCTGATCCACAGCTACTTCATTGAACGCTTGCGTAAGCTTCCCCTCCCCCGTCACATGTTCCCAAAACCCCCGCATTGACGGTTTAAGTATTTTGTTTAAAAAAAAAATAAAGCAGCACCCACCAAAGTGGCCAAACACCCACTGAAACCCATTAATTGAGCCACTTTTCCTCCCCATGTCCTGATTTAAACAGTGAGCTTGATTGTTGTTTCAATTTCTCCGCTATTTGGACAACATCCAGAAAAGGGGGGGGGGGGGGGGAAATTTGCACTTTTCCCGAGATGATCAACAGTTTCTAGTCTAGCATTGGGATTTTTGCGTTGGCGGTTTTGTCTGTTTGGTGTTTAAAACGTGGCCCAAAGTTTGACGTAAGATTCCGTGTTATCAGACCTCGAACCTTGTTTGATGTAGAACACAGACACTTGAAAGCAGGACACAAGATACCGGGAATCAAACATTAACCCCCACCCTCCCCTCTTTTTTTTTTTGGGGGGGGGGTTTTCATCTTGCGCCCATACCTACAAAAGCACATTGAGAAACCTGCATCCAATTTCATTCAAAAACAGGATACAGATTGACGTCACCTTCAATCCATCGCTTTTATTTGAAAAAGCATCTCTTCTTTTCGCATCCCACCTCCAAAAAGACCATTAGCCACCTAGTTCCCCGGAAAAACAGGATGCCGCACAACTGGGTATTTATCACCCTAAAACCCATTACGGGTATATGTAAAAAAAAAGAAGACCATTAGCACCTAGTTCCCCCGAAAAACAGGATGCCGCACAACTGGGTATTTGTCACCCTAAAACCCATTACGGGTACCGGGTATATGTACAAAAAAAGACCATTAGCACCTAGTTCCCCGGAAAAACAGGATGCCGCACAACTGGGTATTTGTCACCCTAAAACCCATTACGGGTATATGTTTTGGAGTTAGGGGGGGGGGGGAGGCTGTGTGTACCCGTAGCCTATAAAAACCGTTTTGGTTTATTTGAGATGTCTGGTTAAGAGCCCCATGTTCAAATATCCCACGCGAGAAAGTTGGGCGCCAGTGCCCATTGTGTCCCTGTTTGATCAGCGAGGGGAAGTCGGAGTGACTCTTCAGGCACAAGCGGGGTGCGTGTGATACACCCTTGGTGAAAAACCCTTTTTGTTTGGGGTAAAGAGAGAGAGAGAGATCTGAGCATATAGACCTGCGGCTCGTGGCTAACAGGTCAAGTCAACATCCAACCCCCCAAAAAATTTTAAAATGGCATTCACGTCGGGAGTTTCAATTCTTTGGGCTTGTTGACATCTCTGGCAACACTTTTATAACTCAATTTTTTTTTTATTGACGAGAAGAGAGTTTGTGAAATTCCACTGTCAACATTTGCTCTGGTATGCCATGTGGTGTCATGGTCCCATTCTTCAGAAAATTTTAGCCTGCAGGGATCTTAGTGAAAAATATGTGAATAAGTTTGGAGAAAATGAATGTAGCATCAGAATTGGAGCACAAAGAAAAAGTGTTACAAATTCCCCTCTTGCAAGAAAAAGGGTGACTGCTCTATGTTCCGACACCCCTATGTTCTGACAACCTAGATTGTGTTACTCCCGGTTAGGGTTAGGGTTAGGGTTAGGGTTAGGGTTGGGAATAGGAATATGAATATGTGCAGTCGGAACATAGGGGTGTCGGAACATAGAGGTGTAACCAGAAAAAGAAGAAGAAAGTCTTAGGAAATCTTAGGAAATAGCAAATGTGAGTCTCATTAGAAATTAGTATCACGCATTGCATTTTCAGATACACCCATGATACATTCAAATATTTAATTGTTTTTCCTGTGTATTGTCTACACGCACATTATTCAAATGTAGCAAGACTTTTCCTAACTTGTCTAGAAGTGAAAAGTCTTAGAACTGTACATAGTAATAGCTGTCAGTCTCAACGGACTTGCGTGGGCCGTAAAATTTCCCCATTGTCCCTGTGTTTGTTATCTTGAATAATGCCTTTCTCCGTTTCTCAAACAGCCCCAGAGGATTTCCCTTTTCAGTCCCGGAGAATCCTTTCTTAAATCCGGGGTTATTCCCGGTCTCGTTGTGGTTCCGGAATTTTTTTTTTTTTTTATTATTTCGTTCCGGAGGCGAAGACGCAAGTGTTTGCAAATAAACTGTATTATTTCTTAGAATTCCAAATTGCTGTGACGCAAAGACAAACGAGCCAATACGCCAGCACAGACAGATGGACCATTACAATGTCAATCTTCCATCTTGGAACAGAATTTCTTTCTCAAAATTGTGCAATTTGAAGGAAAGACAAAATCTGGACCATGCAAAAATATAAAGTTGTTGGAATTAGGCCAAGGCGACCTTAGGTCCATTGATCGCAACCTAGTTTTCCCGTTATCCTTTTCTTGCCTCGCTGTCCATCCAACTCAGGGTCATGTCCATTTTCAACGGTGTCTGGTTCGGACCAAATCCTTCTTTACTTTTTACTTTTTTTCCCCCTGGCTGCCCCTCAACACCCTTCAGCAAAGATCCGTCACCTAGACATCGCCTGTTGCAAGACTCTCTTAAGGCTACTGTTTGTTTTGTGGTTTTGGTTTTTTTTATTTGGGGGGGGGGGGGGGAAGGAGAGAGAAACTTTGTTTTCCTCGTTTTTTTGTCAAAAAAGGGGGGGGGGCAGGGAAATTGGGATTTGTGGTAGAAAATTTTCTGTATTCGGAACTGGTAGGTTTTTTCAAGGGCTGTGGTTGTTTGCTCTTGGAAATCGGAATACCCTGCAGTGTGCTTTCAACCCAACCTACATTGAACCTATGCTCCTCCCTCTGTAGAGGGCTCTGGCCTCGCGTGAACGGCCATGCACTGCCATGACAGCGTCGAAGCTTTCTCCAAAATATCAGGAAGAGGTTAACGGAGGTTTGAAGTATACTTGGCACGCTGAGATTAATCTAAATATTATGCCTGGTTTCCGAAAAGCCCATCAAGAAATGCCGTCGTTAGTGTCCCTAAAAAAAAAAAAAAACGGTCCTTGAGATTTTGTTTGATTTTATAAAATCAGCAAACCAGAACCCTGTGATTCAGTCAAGGTCCAAGACTAGAAAATCTAAATCATTGGTTTGATTTGAACAGTCTGTCTTTCTCAAATTCATTGTAATCCTTAATCCCCCCCTCCTTCACCCCCTTCTTCACCCCCCCCCCCTCCCCGGCCCTTATTCTCATCATGACTCCTATTGCCATCTATTTAGGGTCATCTTTAGAAGCCCACAGATTTCTTGATGACCCTCACTAAAACAAAGAGTAGTAATCTATAGCCCTTTTCACACTAGAGCCTTTCAACCCGGGTCGAACTCAACCCGGGCGAACCCAGTGACGCCCCAGGTTGAGTTTTTAATTTTTCAACCCCGCATCATTTCACACTTGTTTCATGCAAATCAAGCTTATCATGCTCAGTTGCTACTGTTTTGAACCCTGGCAAGAATTTCAAACCCAGGTTGAAAATCTCAACCCTGGTCTAGAGCAGGGTTGAGTTCAACCCGGGGCAAAATCAATCTCGGGGTTGACGCAGGGTTGACACAGGGTTGAAATTCTTCAAGTGTGAAACGATGCATGTTTTTAACCTTGCGTCAACCCTGCGTCAACCCCGAGATTTGTCTAGTGTGAAAAGAGCTTTAGGGCTCAAGCACCCCCCCTCAGTGTTCAGAAAGGGAGACCACTTGGAGAAACATTTGAACGCATTGCTGACGACACCTGACCCTCACACGAAGACGCTATGGCTTTGTGAACATTCAGAATAAACTGAGTCCTGAGTACTTTGCATCGTGAGTCCTTTGCTGTGTGTCCCGTCCACGAAAGGGATAAAAACAGCGCCCTCTCTTGTTTGCGCACAGAGCCCATAACCTTGTGATGTTTGACAGAAATGGTCTGGAAACTTGAAAAAAAAATATCAATGTTTTGTTTCTTTTTTTATTAATCTCATCAACAGCAAAAGCGCAAGTTGCGAGTGTTCATCTCCAACACCTACTACCCCGGCAAGCCAGATGCAGATGAGGAGGACGCCAGCGTGCCCTCCTGGGAGCTCAGGGTCGAAGGTCGCCTTCTGGAAGATGTAAGAAGCTCTCCGCTGCTAGGAATGTTCTTTGTAGTCCATGTGGTGTTTTGGTTAAAAGTCTTGGGCTTGTTTTATTACAGATTTTAAGAAATTCAGACTTCAATATTCAATCAAATGTCAAATTTGGGGTGCAGAAAAAAAGTGCTCATTCACAGATTGTAAAAAAAAAATATTTCAGATCAACAAGAGGCCAACACTGGATTAAAAAGATGGACTGGATTAAAAAAAAAAATTAGCCAAATTTGACTTTAGCTGTGGCTCAAACCTAGCCTTGGTTTCAGTCTACATGGTACTTCTTAATGTCATAATTAAATACGATGCACATTTTGACTCAGGATATACTGAGTCTTGATGTGAGTCTATGATCATTAAAACGCTTGAATCAAGGACGGACTATAGAGTATACATGTATTTCTAGTTTTTTGTACTCGTGTTTACTTCGAGTGGGAGCGTGGCCTAGCGGTTAGGGTTCGTGACTCATGATCAGAGGGTCAGGGGCTCGAATCCAGCTGCTGGCCATGTTGTGTTCTTGGGCAAGCCTCTTCACCCCGACTTGCCTCTCTCCACCCAGGAGTATAAATGGGTACCGGTACTGGCATTTAACTGAGGAGAAACCTGCGATGGACTGGCATATTTTCAGTCATTTCATGCCACAGAATAAACGCCAGCCTAAAAATGGGCCATACTAGCTCGTGACAAACTTGACTTTATTACTTCCAGCCAGCTTCTGTGCTACCTGGAAAACAGTCCCAGGTCTCAACTGTAACGTTGTCGTTATGGGACCCTTAATTGGGTTGATACACGATCACAAATTCCTCACTTCCCCACTAGGGTAGTAGGCTAGGGTACATCGCGAGGGAGGGGAGGGGCCGGGCGGCTGGGAGTTTGTAAAATTTGTTCTGTCGTATTGAATCCGGTTACCGGTGACACAAACTGGCTTCCTTGTGGAGTGTCTCCGTTCCCCGACCAGTAAGTCTGGATTTGGAATGATGGAAATCAGTGTCGCTGAAAAGCGTGAGTTATAGGAACAGCGCAAGGCCAAAAATGACTGGACTACATGTTTCTGCAAGTTTGGGGTGGTTCTGTTTTGTCTCGGCCTGTTTCTTTAAGCGATCAAATCCTATTGATACATTTTTGAAGTCAATGACTTCAGTTTCTTTAACTTCACCATTTTTGTTCCAAAAACACTCCACATTTCGCCCACAGCCTACTTCTTCATTTAATTGCAGTAGAAAAAAAAAAAAATCTAAGGAATATACAACAAATCTTACACTTCCTGGTGTCACTACATTTGCTTTTCTGAGTTTATCTTTATTTTTTCAACAAAATAAAAAAAAAAAAATGAAAAACTAAAGATAATCACCCCAAACCAATACCCGTCCAGAAATACCCTCGCAATACACGTATCTTCACAATAAGGTTATTGTCGAGAAGTTTGCATTTACATGCACGGATTCCAATAATAATTGACTCCATTTCCCTGCTTCTTCAGCCCAACGCCCCCAAGTACGAGATCAAACAGAAGAGGAAATTCTCCTCCTTCTTCAAGAGCCTGGTCATAGAGCTGGATAAGGAGCTGTACGGGCCCGACAACCATCTTGTGGAGGTAACGCTCAATCTTACTCACTGCATCCATGAAACTTTCACATGCATGTACTCACTTATTTCTTTGAGTCGTTGAGAACACAGAATTTGCCTAGTGGTTAAATTTTTCGCTGAGCAGAAACAGGACAATGCCCGCAATATAAAGTGGTGTTCTGGCTCCATGTGTGGACAAGAGAGGGCGCTATTTGACCGTTTTTCGAGAACCAAGTGGATGGGACACATCGTGTGCGCATACTTGTTCTCGTATGTATAGCAGGAAGTACGCACAACTAATTTTATTCTGAATGTGCACAAAGTCGTAGCGTCTTCGCGTGAGAATCGGGCGTCATTGGCAATGCATTCGAATGTCTCTCCCAGTGGTCTCCCCCAACTCTCTCTTTCTTACCGTTGAGGGGGTACTTTTGCCCGGAGCCCATATTTGCTTGACAAGAAGCAGTATACATTTTCCATGCGTGTGGCAAAAGTGAGGTGCGCGCTGCTTTTTTGTTTTGACAAGAAAATTTACAGAACAAAATCTTCTGCTGAGCAGTTTCCATCTTATCCATGGTTGTGGACATTCAGTGTGCCTTAACAACGTTCCGAGCTTTATTAACCAAATTTGCAATCAGTTCTTCTCTGAAGTGAAGGCTATTAAGTCAAGAAATTTCTATGTGGATATCACAGGGTCATGTATTGTACAGGGTAATTTTGAATTCTGAAATTGATGTGAAAATTAAAATAATATGCTTTGCGTCAGTCTCCTTTGGTTCACATACTGTGAGAAAGTGGAACCATGTTGCACATCGCATGTTGTCAATCGCACGGCTTTATTTAGGTCAGGAATGCGTTGAAGACGCAATCCCCGACTAAACCGAAACTCAATTTACGCTTTGATATAGCGCCAGATTGACTTGACCCCCTTTTTCAAGCCCAACTTATATAAACCAAATACGGCCCGACTCTTTGCCAAGTGGAACCAAACCGAGGGGGATTAAGGCTTACATGGAAGAATTCGAAGGGAAAAAAAGTCGGTCGGGTTGTCACGAAGTTAAACGAGAACGTCTGCTCTAACGAAGCCCCTCCATAAATCCCGAGTTACCGAGACCCCGGATCGAGGGGCATTCACACTTAGACCTGTCGACCGATTTACGTCTTCGCCAGTCTGTCTGACTACTCTCGTTATTTTCTTCGTAAAAACAAAAACAAATCTTGACGTTAAGCAGATGACGTCTCAACTTCAGACTGTCCCCCCCCCCCTCAACACCCTTACCCTCCGGCCTCAGGATTTGCATCTATGGACCTTTTTTGGGGGAGCTCTTTACCTTCTTTTTTTCATTCTCATGATTATATTGTCGACAAATACTGGTCGGGTGACTGTGGGTGGATGGCCTCTGCAAATGGGACAGGCATGCCAGGAATTGTGCCGCAGTTGAACAAAGACCCGCTCCCTGACTACAATTGGTTGAAAAATTCTCAGTACGCACATTACGGGTCCCTTTGTGACTTTCTCCCAAAGTTGTACAAACACGGCATAATATACAGGATGACAGAGAGTTTTTTTTTCTTTTCTCTTTTTCCCTAACTTCTTACTCCATTTTCACTGTCCTCATTTGAAGAGGTCAGTGCCCAGTGCTATTTTTTGTGATTCCGAAGAGCCAACAGTTTGTATTCAAAAGCTTGGCGATACAATAAAAAGAAAGGAAAAAAAAATCCTTGTAATCACGAGAGCGAAGAGCGGAAGAAATACACCCGAAAAAATTCGAACACTCCTTCTACCCCAGATCCACCGCTAATTAGCTGCCGGGGGGAAACAAGCCAGACAAAAGAAAGAGAAATATGAAAAGTGAAATTCCGCCTCATGTGACCAAGCGTTCGCTGATTGTTACTTATTTTCCTTTCTTTTTGTGTGTGACCTGTACCGATGCTTGCCGCTGTTATTGTGTCCGCGCATCAACCGTGTACCACGCGGCCGATGCTGGCACGCAAGCGTCCCAGAAAATCGCAGTTGCTATTCAACTTGTAACAAGACCAAAAAAACAAAATTCTCAGTGTGTTTTTTTGGTGCACGGAGCAGATGGAGCTAATTATATGTAATTTGGGTCATCATCAAAAACAAAATTTGTTCCCCCAGAGCGTGTGAACAGGCAGCCTACCCTATATTTTGGATATCTCATACGCGGACACAACAGTACAATCCGCATGCCGTGTGACACAGATTGTTCGCCCTTCTAAACTCAAATAGTCGGCCAAAGGCCGTGGCTATCTGGAAGTCGTTTGCCTGAAAATTGGCCATTTCACTGCCGCTAATGTATGTTTGTCCACTCGTATACGGAGAATTAACAACGGTTTATCTTATTTATGGATTTTGGAGTGCTTTAAATGGTGCAACATTATACAAGCAAGAGAATCCGAGACACTGTGCCGAAAATTTACCGCGGTGTGCATGTGCAGAACAAAAAAATGCCATTTGCTGTTGTGTAGCCTTGTAATGCAATTTATATTTTTGTCTGAGTTTTGGCAAAGTGGATTCATTCCAAACTGATTAAAACTGAGCCAGTATACAGAATCGGTAAATAAAATCCAGATTTTCTTCTTTAAAATGCCTTGAAATCAACTCTCAATAACCCCCTCCCTCGAAAGAAAGGCCACACCTACATATAAGATAAAGTGGAGGCGGGGTTAGGGGATCTTGAAATCAACTCTCAATAACCCCCTCCTCGAGAGAAAGGCCACACCTACATATAAGATAAAGTGGAGGCGGGTTAGGGGGTCTTTAAAAAAAAAAATCTTTGGCCGCAAATAAATTAGGAAATTCATGCAGAAAAACACAGCAAATGCCTGCTAAACCTCTGTCTTGGTAGCTTAACCCCCCCCCCCCCCCTTGGCAGCCTACCCCCCCCCCCCCCCCCTTGGCAGCCAACCCCCCCCCCCCCCTCTCTCTCTCTCTTCATCCAAACTTGGATCTGCCCCCGATATATAACTCCATTTCAAATCACATTTCATATTTTATTTTTTGTATCATCCCACTCGCTTGCCTCTCTGAGCTTACCCAACAACTGTCTCAATTTGGCCATCCGAAATTATTGATAGACAAAATTGAATTCCGGCGATTCCCTCCCATGTGGCCAGGCCAAAAAACACCTGTGCCTCTTTAAAAAAAAAAAAAATCACAGGTGTCTCTGAACTCGGCCATTATTAGATTTTGGAAATTGTTGGTCGTGTGCCAAGATGGTTTCCTTCTTTTCTGTTCTTTTCTAGCCCCGGTGGCTCACGTTTTAGCCGGTTTGGGCCAGTGCTCAGTCAGTAGCTTTTTTTTTCTAGACGCCCGAAGTCTGTGGTGGCCAGCGTTTTTCAAGTTCACAAGTTCAGTTCTTCATTAGGAATGATTACGATCCTTAGAAACCAACTGCATTTTTTTTCTTGTGGTTTATGGGGTTGGTTTCAACCGCAGAGAGTTTGCCCATTGAGACCTCAACTTAAGTCAATGTTGGGGTTTTGTTCTTTCTTTGCTCTTGATACTTTCAGGGTTACCAGTTTTGCAAAAAGCCTGTAGTTGAAAGATAAACAGTTTCCTTTTGCTTAGGGGGGAGTTATGAGACCGCAAATGGGTGTCCAGTCCTTAAAGGGACTTGCTGATTTTGTTGGGATGAGCTGTAAACTATATCCCTTGTGAAACAAAAACACAAACCATTGCGCACTGCACACTCGCTGAGGACAAGTAGAAGGAACAAAGTTCTTTCCTCATGATGGGTGCTATACATGTATGTTATAAGAATCACATCTCCCCCTATCCCCTACCTGCCCCTATCCCCTACCTGCCCCTAGCCCCCTACCTCCCCTGGCCCTACCCCCTACCTCCCCTGGCCCTACCCCTACCCTCTACCTCGCCCTACCCCCTACCTCCCCCTACCCCCTACCCTCTCCCCCTCTCCTTCCCTCTCCCCTGTACCTTTAAGACAGGTCTGGATTGATTCACCAAAGCAATGTTTATAAACACTCTGCGTCCGAACGTGACTTGTAGCAGGTTTTTTCTTGTTTTTTGGATTAGGTGTGGCTCTCTGTATCTTCCCTAAAAGGGGATCTTTTGTTGATTAACTGTTCAAAAATTGATTTATTTGAACTTTCACGGCTCTGGAATACATTCAGCAGATGAATTGGTGTCCATTGAATTGAAAGCTGACAGAACTGACATGGAAAGTAAAAGTAACCCGGTGGGAAAATTTTTTTTTGGGGGGGGGAACCAGACCACAGGCTTGCAAGACGAGACTTTAGGATTGCCTAGTTGAGCTACTCCCAGAAGTCCTGGTTGGGACATTAACTGTACTCAGTAAATCAGCCGGGGAGTCAGTCAGTCAGTCAGTCAGTGGGTAGTGACTCAGTCAGTCAAAGGACACTAAGCTGGCCTGGAGCATGTCAGCAAAAAGTATGAGAGAACTTGTAAAAACAGATGTGTTATGGGTTCCTGTACTGGCTGATTTTGGAGGGTTCAAAAAAAGTTCCTCACAAATATTAACCCAAGATTTAGGGTTTAGGCATGCACCCCACACCTCACCCACCCCTACACCTCACCTCATCCCTCCCCTTCACTAGTCAGCTTCTGATCAGGGTTACCAACCTTCAGTTCAAAGACAGATGTGTCTGACACACAGGCCCGCCAAAAACAATCCTTAGAGCCTTGGTCTAATTCTGTCAGTAACAGGTGGGGGAAAAATGGCAAAAAGGAAGGGGGGTGGCTTGAGACACAAAAATACAGGAAGAACAGATCCCATGCATCAAAGGGTGATCAGTCAATTGCCAGTCTGATACCCTACTCATCAGATCTCCAGATGAATTGGTAGTCAATAGCTCTGAGAAGCCAGTAGTCTGGTGCTCCACTAGGTTCATTTCGGGGACACATGGGGTTTGGCACCCCTGTTTTCTCCAAATTTTGTCTGAGCCAAAGTGTGTCACAGAACCTTGTGGTTTCTTCTTTCTTTTTTCTTGGGGGGGGGGGGTTTCAGAAGCCAGTCACCCCAACTTACC